AATGTGTAAAAGCCTTTCCTTGTACTTGGTCCAAAAGAGCTTTTACTCACCCGCTCATTCTCTTGTTACTCTCTCTTTCTGTGTGTGTGTGTGTGTGTGTCCCACTCTCTCTCTCCCCCCCCGTCTGTCCAATGCTGGGCTTAAATATGAAATTGATTGATTATTGTTTAAGGGTCTGACCGAAGTAGAGCCTCTCTCATACTCTTCCTCTCTACATGCGTTTATCCCCCCCCATGTACTGTAGACATATTCCATGCAAACTAACAGAAAGGTTTTTGAAAACCTTGAAAGTGTTTGAGGTTTGTTATGATGATAGGATGAAAGACAATTTGTTGATAACTTTCACAACACATTCTGGAGGCATTCCAAACAATAAAAGCATAATCAATCTTTTCTTTTACATCAACAGTCTTTTATAATTTAGTTGTCAAAAGAGTGAAATGTTACTTTGAATACCTCATCCAAAAAGGGACTCCTTTGTCCTGCCAAACAAGTTTCATTTATATTTTTGCTTCAGACTAAAAGGAAAAGTTGAAGTTTAACTATACAGTATTTTGGTTGAAAAGCGTAACCACAAATGTCAAACTCCTAGAAGGTGGCCCTAGAAGAAAAATCATTAGAATACTTCATCTGGGGACCATGAATGTTACTAAATGTTGTGCTAATCCATTGAAAAGACGTTGAGATATTCAGGCTGGTGTCTTCCAGCTATACCTCGGAGAAAAAAAAAAGAAACGAGAAGTCAACGTTGATGTTTTTGTCACGTATCTTGCGTACTTCCGCAACAGCACTCATTTATTTTAACCCAAACGATGATCTATTCCTAAACCAAAACTAGTAGTTTTGTTGCTTAAACCTAACTGAGTTTCCTGTGAAGATGGAAGTTTATTTTGAAAAGACCGTATGCATGTAACGATTGAAAATTGACACGTGGCTTTCGTAGGACAACGCACGAAAAATGAGGAGTAACTTTTCATAAGATATCATACAAAAAGTTGTATCAGAATACATCGAGATATTTAAGGGGATATGTGGAAACCTTGACCTGCAGGTGGCGCTAGAAGAAAAGTGCAACATTTTTATTGCAATACATCCAGTAGTTTTTTTAATATTTTAAATGACATTGAAATATTATTTAAACAGGTGGGCACTATCGTTTTTAACAGACATCACTTAAACAGGAAGGAATCGCATTTTTGTTCGGGACTATTTTAAATTACGGATTAATAGTCATTTGGTGTCCAGTGAGCATTTACAGCTGCAGGACGGTGTATGTGGGATTGACTGAAAAGCTACAGTGCCCATGTTCATGATAATGAGGGAACATGTCACCCAGTGCAATGATGCGGCTCACTGATGTGTTTTCAACAACAATGGAGCTCTATGGTACGCAGGAAAAAGATATCTATACGACTCTCTCTTCATGGGATTTGTTGCCTTATCATTTCATCTCATTGTATGGATTGATAGATTTCATGCACTTGCATGTTTGTGTGTGTGTTCCAGGCAGATATCGAGAGGAAGTGAGGGACACATGGTGGAGATATGGCTGGTAACATGGTCAAGTCCATAACACAGGATGCAACAGTGGCTGTGTCTGTTCCCTGTGAGTCCTAACCACTCCATTTATCTTTGGCGAGATTGGTTCAAAAGCCAAGTGTCGCAATTAACCCCTTCTCTGACCATCAATCAACATAAGGCATTAAAACAGTAATCTAATTAAATACCCAGATAGACATGAGGCCATTATTATCTGTCAAATGTCCACTATAGCACCAAATGATAGGGGGCTGAAAATTGTGACATGGCTCTTGGGAAATTATATCATCTGTAAATGAATTGTGCAGATTGAAATAAGAAGGAGGACGGAAAGAAATGAGCATGATTTGGTAAACACGTCGCATTTGAATAGTCTGCCTCTCATGGAAATCAGGAGACAGAAGAAACCCAAAAATAAAAACATAAGGTTTGAAAAATATCAGCCACAGAATGAAAAGACAGAACATTTTAGTTTACCATTATTCATCATCATGAATAGGCATGAATAGACTCTTCATATCATCTCGTCTCATGTTCATTTATTGTTTAGAACAGATGTTTTATTCTAACCGACACCTTTGTAAAGTTAACAAGGACCTCTGCAGGAACGTTGTTTGATGATGCGTGTGGTCGCCAACTGCAAATTACCTGATTGGTTATTGTTTTATTAGGACGTATTGTGTGTCCCACCTAACTGGAGATGTATGATGGAGAGACTCCTTATAGCAAATGATTGTGCTGCAGTTTTCAAAAGTTTCAAGAATATAAATATAAATGGATTTAATTGAGAAAAACATTGCATCTTTAAGCTCTCATTTGTATACAAAGCAGGCGACAACGCTGTGGGAAAATAAGAAATACACTAGAATAGAGCTAATACAACGATTTTAGCAAGTATTTACATTTTACAGGATATACTGAGGGTGTGTGAAATGTCTGCTGTTGACTCGCCACATCAAGCATATATCACAAGTGTAGAACTGTCATCTGTTCACAGAGAAACTCACATAAACTATAATATAAGATGTGTACAGTAAAGCTGGACAATTAAAGGAAGTAGTTGTAAAAACAGATCAGAATCAGATCCAACATGATCTCCTTTGCATGTTCGTTTTGTGTGATTGCTAATTACACCTCCCAGCTAATGCTTCCCATTGACTTTTTCATCTTTCAACTGGTCTGATTGAGCTCTCACTTTCCCACTTTTTGCACTTTCCCTGCAAATAAGCGTCTTGTCCATTCACAGTTTTTGCTGAGCTAAGACTCAAGAAAAAAAGGGGCGTAAAAGGAAGAGTAATTAAGCCACCAGATAATCCTGACGACGGCAGCAAAAATGGCTATTCAGCTTATGGCCAGTAATTGTGGTCGGGACACTATGACCTTACTCATGTGCAGAGTGACTGAGAGGAATGGAGGAGGGGCACAGTATCCGTCCCATGGGAAGAAACCGTCTCTGCTCATGTAAAGAACATATAGCAAGCTATGTTAGTAGTTACAGGATTAGAGTAGAGGATGTAGAGTTCACCTGCTCGCATGGTTTCTCTTTGAGTAGGAGTTGAAAACACAAAAGTTTACAACCCCTCCTTCCTGAAAGTCGTATTTTGCCACATCCATCATTTCAAGCTTTAAAACATTGAAATAAAACTGTCAACATCATCAAAGCGTCTGGTTGTTGCACCTTCAGCCAGAATCGACATTCAGCAGCTGACTCAAGTTCTACAGAATTCTGTTCAGGATCACGACTGTTTCAGTGCAACAGGTGTTTCAGTTTAACGAGCGATCGTGCTAATTGGTGACTTGGCCGAATGCGTACTGGTTGGTGTAGATAATAAAACACAGAGGAGTATGTATTTAAAATTGATCGAAGGCTTTCACACCTACATGTTCCGTTTGTGTTTTCAACAGCTGCCGTTACGAGCAACCAACACGGTATTAATCTCTTTATTTGTCAATTGACAGGTTATATAAACTAGACTACAGTGTAGTTTTGTCAAAAGGCACTCAAGGCTACGCATGGCTGCCCGCCAGTAAACAGAAGAAAAGTATACGTAGAGAACTGGACACAAAACAAAATGCCTTGGCCATCTAACCCGTGTACAGTAGAAGAATGGAGAGAGGTCTTCGGGAATTGTTCAATTGGTCAACTTTTATTGGTTCTCTCATGTTATTAGCCATGTTTCATGCTGTCTGTAGATGAAGACAAGCATTGTCACCTTATGGGAAAAAATATCCAAGAAGACACAGACAGCAGAACCAGCTGATCAGTCATACAAGTTAAATGTTCGCTACGTCAGAACTTATTCAGCATAGGTGTTTCCACACCCTATTTAGCGACTCTTTTTCGACCAAAAAACACCCCAAGCGAGCGTAAAAACATTTTTGCATAATTCCATACAGCTTTTGTAATGCGAAACTTCAAAAGGTGCATAAAAATGTGTGAGTGGAAACAAGATCACTGTGACTTTCAAAGAGCTACTCCACCGATGAAGCATTAAAACTTCTATAACATTGTCGGATTCATGATGGATAGCTTTAAATCAATGTCTTTTAATCTTCACATTCTTCTTCCTTGTCAAAGCCTGCATTACCCACAATGCAACTTGATCACTGACGGTTCAATCTGAGATTTAGGTGTGTTATGCTTGTAGCGGCTGATGTAGCCTCAAGCTGCTAGCCTCAAGCATGGTCTGGTCACCTAAAGTTTTCAGTGGAACATTTAGGTCTAAAATCCACAGTAGTTTTTTCTGCTTGAAAATCCTCACGGTGTTTGTCCAAGTCATGTGTAGCAAGAGATAATGCTGATGTTCCACAGAGAGTCAGCAGTTGTACACACCACTTGAAATGAGTGAAAGTGCATTCCCTATCACACTGAGCAAAATGCAAACTGTGAGCAAGCCTTGCGAGGCTAACACTGTATGTTCCTGTGATGTAAAGTAACAAACTTCAGAGTTCACGCTGTTGAAAAGCAGCTTATTGCAGATAGCCTGTCTCCCCAACCCTCCCCACTTTGCTACAGCCATTAACTTCATCTCTGACCTCCTAAGTCAACAATCACGAACCTTCCAAACAATCGATTCTCCAAGAACAGAGAGATCACCCATCCGTACGGCAGGATGTTGCTACAGTGCTAGTGCGAGAGCGCTGCTGCATGCATCCAGGCCCCCCAAGAGCCCTGACTTCTTGGCTCTGCTTGAACCTCGAGCTACTGGAAGGACACCTCTCACCCTGGGAGGGGGAGGGGGGTAGGGGAGGCAGATGAGATCTCCATCACCCATATCTTTCTCTCACCATCATCATCAACACACCCTTCATCCCCCTAACCCCTCCCTCTTGCTTTTCAGAGGTGTCTGGTGACTCTGGTCCATGTTATCTCGCCCCTCCCTTCATCGTGGAGGAGAGAGGGAGAAAGCGAGAGGCTGCAGCCCACTACCACCGTGTCCCCAGAGGCCCCTTGCCTGCCTGCCTGCCTGCCTGCCCCTCCTGCTGCTCAGTACAGCTGTGGCTCAGCACCAGACCCTGACCAGCTGGAGATCTCAAACCCTGCCAGAGAGCCACGCGAAGAGCCACAGTGTGTGAAAGCTCCTCACCTCTCTTCGCTGACTCTTCATTAGGTGAAGCACACAGACACTAACTCCCAACTGCCAGCAGCCAAGCCTCTCCCGCTGGTGCTGAGAAGATCCTCCTTTGAGCATGGCTCTGGCACCGCGGGCCCCGGCACTTCTCTTGCCCCTGGTGCTCGCCCTGCTCAGCCTGGTGCCGGCACCCGCCTTGGGAGGCTGCCCGACGGCTTGCCGGTGCTCTTTTGCCATGCTGCAGTGCCTGGAGCCCAATGGCATCGCCAGCGTCCCGGCACTGGCCCCGCAGGAGAGCGAGAACGTGACAGAGATGTGAGTATGATGGGCCACCTGCTTTGCATGCGCCTTTGAATCAGCATGAGTTCATCAGATGCCTCGATATTGGTGGTTTGCAAAGCTTGATTTTGTCTGCTTGTGTTCATGTTATCAGTCTTTGGCTGGGATTGCATTTGTTTACGAGGGTCTCAATGGCAGAGTTTTCCAATGGCTTCATATGTGATCTGGATAACTGCTTATAGTTTTGGGTTTTGTCCAATTGAGTTAATCAAGTCCAGGTGTTAAAATGCAGTGATCATAGAAATCACTCTACAATCATTTGTGAAGTTTTCCGATTGAGTGATATAGAAGCAGTGGACGAAGAAGTCTCATTTAAGGTTGTGCAATAAAGTTGCTCTCCATTGCTTTGACTCAGAACAAGTGCTTTTCTGCATTTGTTTATTTCTCCTTATGTGTTGTCTGTTTTCATACCACGAGGAGAGTTTGTTCTCAGCGGTGTTTGTCCAGTTGTGTTTAGCAAGAGGTAATGATGACATCTCACCAAAGTACAACAGCAAAGTATTCGAGAGTATCTGTCTCGCAAAGCTTTATTTATCTTTCATTATTTGATACAATCAGATTTCCGCTCTGTTGAGAGTAGAAAGAAGTTGTTCTTTGCGTTAGCCAAGTCCAGAGGCAGCTTGATGGAAAGTAAATTTACTACTGCTTGAGATGCATTAGCATGGCAGTAATTTTGTCACTCTGGTCATTGGAAATCAATTATGGATTGCTACTGACAATAACTGGCCCAGAGTGACGGGAACTGATGTCCTATTATCCATTGTGCCTCAACATGTGGCCTCGGGGTCTTTAAAGGATCTGAGCACTATCAACTCTTTAGTATTGTGGGAAACCACACTCAAGAAAACTTGGTGTTTTTTATTATGTTGTGATAGCTGCAAGTTTAAGAGATGGAAAATCTGTCCTGAATGTGTGGAAATATACTTTTGTTTTGGTCCGGTAACAAAACTTTAGAGTTCATAAACTCTGTGACAAACTCTGTTCTTCCTAATTCTGTTTTTTTTTTTTTTTTTTACTTGATCTTGATTTCAAGTTGTACTTTTCTTTAAAACATTAAGTATTCAAAACTAATTAAGCACTTATTTAATGATTAAGTAAAAAAAAAAAAGCATCTTTAGATGTAATTTATTATGTTTTTAACACTCAAAAGATTAGCTTCATCAGGAATGTGTGGTTTGAGTCCTGACATTTTGGGAAAATAACCTTTTTTAACTTATCCAATGATGCAACGCCGCTATGGCGAGGTCAAGCAATACTTGTTATTGTTTAGTCCATTCGTTAGGAAGTGATTAGGGCACACCAGACAAATTGTAATGAATCACTCCCATTTGTATCCAAACATTTCCCGTACACGAATCGTGTGTTCTGCCAAAGGGTTGTGTTCTGACAAAAGGTTATCTTGATAAAAACAAAGTCATGAGAGCATGACAGTGAAGAGACCAGATGTGCTCCGTTTGTGGTTCAACAGACTGGTTTGATTGGTGGAAAGTGACTTAAAGGGGGTGAAGTTTGACTATAAAAGTAAGCTGTGAAAAGCAGTGGCGGGCCGTGCATTTTATACCTAGGCCTTCACTGCTGCCCTGCAGCTGAAATACCTCCTTATAACCACATCATGGCGCCACAGTTATTATTAGTTTCTAAGACTGTAACTATGTACATATTAAATGTACGTACATTTTGGTACGAGACTTACAATACATTTGATTAGTCCTAGAGCATCTGGAAAATGCAGAAGCTTATATTCGGGTAAACATACAGTGCATCCAGAAAGTATTCACAGCGCTTCACTTTTTCCACATTTTGTTATGTTACAGCCTTATTCCAAAATGGATTAAATTCATTATTTTCCTCAACATTCTATACACATCAACCCATAATGACAAAGTGAAAACTGTTTTTTGCAAATTTTTGCAAATCTATTAAAAATAAAGAACAAAAACATAACATGTACATAAGTATTCACAGCCTTTGCCATGACACTCAAAATTTAGCTCAGGTGCATCCTGTTTCCACTGATCATCCTTGAGATGTTTCCACAACTTGATTGGAGTCCACTTGTGCTAAATTCAGTTGATTGGACATGATTTAGAAAGGCACACCTGTCTATATAAGGTACCACAGTTGACAGTGCATATCAGAGCATAAACCAAGCCATGAAGTCCAAGGAATTATCTGTCGACCTCCGAGACAGAATTGTATCGAGGCACAGAAAAATTTCTGCAGCATTGAAAGTCCCAATGAGCACAGTGGCCTCCATCATCCGGAAATGGAAGAAGTTTGGAACCACCAGGACTCTTCCTAGAGTTGGCCGCCCAGCCAGACTGAGCGATCGGGGGAGAAGGGCCTTAGTCAGGGAGGTGACCAGGAACCCGATGGTCACTCTGACAGAGCTCCAGTGTTGTTCTATGAAGAGAGGAGAACCTTCCAGAAGGACAACCATCTCTGCAGCACTCCACAAATCAGGCCTGTTTGGTAGAGTGGCCAGACGGAAGCCACTCCTCAGTAAAAGCACATGACAGCCCACCTGGAGTTTGCAAAAAGGCACCTGAAGGACTCTCAGACCATGAGAAACAAAATTCTCTGGTCTGATGAAACAAAGATTGAACTCTTTGGCCTGAATGCCAAGCGTCATGTCTGGAGGAAACCAGGCACTGCTCATCACCTGGCCAATACCATCCCTACAGTGAAGCATGGTGGTGGCAGCATCATGCTGTGGGGATGTTTTTCAGCGGGAGGAACTGGGAGACTAGTCAGGATTGAGGGAAAGATGAATGCAGCAATGTACAGAGACATCCTCGATGAAAACATGCTCCAGAGCGCTCTGGACCTCAGACTGGGGCGACAGTTCATCTTCCAACAGGACAACGACCCGAAGCACACAGCCAAGATAACAAAGGAGTGCCTTCGGGACAACTCTGTGAATGTCCTCGAGTGGCCCAGCCAGAGCCCTGACTTGAACCCGATTGAACATCTCTGGAGAGATCTGAAAATGGCTGTGCACCGACGCTCCCCATCCAACCTGATGGAACTTGAGAGGTTCTGCAAAGAAGAATGGGAGAAACTGCCCAGAAATAGGTGTGCCAAGCTTGTGGAATCATACCCAAGAAGACTTGAGGCTGTAATTGCTGCCAAAGGTGCTTCAACAAAGTATTGAGCAAAGGCTGTGAATACTTATGTACATGTTATGTTTTCGTTCTTTATTTTTAATAGATTTGCAAAAATTTGCAAAAAACAGTTTTCACTTTGTCATTATGGGTTGATGTGTATAGAATGTTGAGGAAAATAATGAATTTAATCCATTTTGGAATAAGGCTGTAACATAACAAAATGTGGAAAAAGTGAAGCGCTGTGAATACTTTCCGGATGCACTGTAATGTTTTCTGCGCTCATGGATGACACTGGTTCTCAGCTGGTCTGGCTGTGGGACCCAACATCATTCCTTAATGACAAGTCGCGGCCCAAAGAGATCATTTTATGATTTTACTTTCACAACTTGAGCATTGTACGTACTGCTCTGCAATCTCTTTCCTCATCTCAGTCCCCTGTGTCATGGTGTGTGGTACATCTCACTCAGTCAGAATGCCCATATTTGATTGGCTGAGCTGCATCACGTGATGTGATTCACTACCCGACTAAGCCTCTGCTGTTAAGTTTCGTTTCACGATAGTCACGTGCTCGCCCACTGACCAAGCACAGCACACTGCACATCGCGTACACATGGACACTGAGCTGCACGTAATGCTGACGTCATTATAGGCCGGCTAGCAGGCGCTGACACGTCAAAGAATACGCCCAACATGTCAAACTAAAGATCTGATTGGTTGAACACTATGACAATCAACAATATCGTGCCCATTCACTTAAACTGCACATGGATGTGTAAATTCCACTTCCAATTCATGTAAATTCCACTTTTTATGAAAGATCTGCCGACCTGCGTTTGTCACTGAGGTTGTCCTGACCCAACTCATGTCCTGTGGTTCAACTGGTGCTCAATAGAAGAAGCAGATCTTCACTTGTTGCTGTGGTCTGGAGGCTGGTTCGATGTAGGTCTTCACAGCCATACATGGCACATGTTTGATTGCCACATATTTATGGACGGGCGGTCACTGCGGGGAAGGTGTTTGAACAAAACTCCTCCAAGTTATTGCTCAGAAGAACTAAGACTTCTCACTCAGCTGCAGCACGTGTACAGCAAATGACTGTCATTTAACGTTGGCTTTTTAAAACTTTGTATGAAAAAGGTATGCAGAAACTGACCACCTGTGATTTAAAGACGGCTGCTGTATTATTATGCAACCCACCATCAGCTCCAGTGTGGAAAAAGTAAATGTCACTCTCTGCACCACCACGCTGTTCTCTCTTTGTTCCTGTCCACAGATCTGAGCAATTAGCACTCGCTAAGAAGGAACTACATCTGTGAAATGCTATTTTAGTGGAGCAAGTCAATTTACTGCTGCTTTCTGCCTCTATTCACCTACAGCCCGCTCTCCTGGCCCCCTCTCTCTTCTCGCAGAGGTATTTCCTTGTACCTGCAGCTGAACATGTTCCGTAGAGCTCAGGGTGAGGCTTGACATTCTCTCTGAACCGTTCGATCAATAAGTGAGCGGGCCTTTCTCCGGCTGCTGTTTACCGCGGTGCTCTACATGCCAGCAAACAACAACACTTCGCCGAATTGGCAGTGCGAGGGAATATAGCCGATACGCGGAACAAACAAGGGGCCATTAACTGTGGAACGGGGGCCAAGATTCATCATACACCGAGTTATAAATTAAATTTTGTGAATTGCCAGTCAATGCCTCCACCCAGGAACAATAGATGATATACAACCCACTTGGCTCAATCCAATAAGTAAGGGCGATGGGTGATCCTGGGGCCCACCTGCCCTGTAATCACATTATTGCTGTGTGGGTCAATCAGACATGAATAAAAAGGTTTGTGTTTGCAGCTGACAAACAGAGAACTGGAGGGTTGAAACAATGCCACATGCTGAAAGTGGCTGTCATCAACTACAAATTACTGCAGGTATTTTTTTTTTGGCATATGCACTAAACACAAATCTATATTCAGCTAACTGCTTGACAAAGAGCTGTCCCCATGGATTATGCAAGTACTGTATCTATATATCCATCCATGCCACTTTATTCTTCTACTTCACTACATTTCAGAGGAAAATACTACACTTTTTTACATTTCTTTCACAGCATTCAAGTCAGTTTGCGAATGATTTTTACACATAAGAATATATTTCTTCATATAATCAATCAATTCTCGGTCACCAGAATTGGCAGCTACAGTACCAGAGGCAACAGTTGATGCTTTTTCTAAAGAACAGCACCCACAGAAACCATTGAAAGTGCTTTAAAGTCCTGATACATCACATGACCCGCGAGGAACCAGTCCGCTGTCCTCAGCACCTGCTGTGCTGTCTCAACAAAATGTACTTTAAAAAGCATTTTTTTCCACCATATTTAAACTAATAGCTTCAAATATTTGTGTAATAATAATCAAAGGTTATATTTAAACATGCTTAGGCATAATTGTTTGAAAATTAAATACTGAAAAGCTCATTTAGTCTGCTTCATCAGACTGTTTGGGAGTAGTTTAAATGCAAACAAAACCACATGAAGCGCAAAAGCTAGGGTCTTTCGCTGCTCATTCCCCTTTTGCCCATGCTAATGTTGCTAACAGCAAAGCACTTTGTTTCAGAGACCCAAACTACAGTGGCCCTGAGAGCTCAACGTGTTGTCATGAAGGGCCCAAATGCAGCCTCAGAGACGGGCTAACACAATGAAGATACTTTAATAAAGCAAACAAACAGTCTTACCAGGTCAAAGTCCCAAAGGCAGGCAAAACTCCACACAGCAACGCAAAATCAAACTGACCAAGAGCAGAGGAACAGGGCTGGCATAAAGGCTGAGACTATCAGTGAAGGACAGGTGAGTGCAGAGCTAATGAGGGACAGGTGAAACTAATCAGGGCGGGACAGACAATCAAAGCTGAATAAGATGTTGCCCTCAGGTTAGATTCCAACAAACTAATCTTGAAAGGTTCTCTCAGAGCATTAATATAACAGCCAGCGACTATTTGCAAAGTGAAGATATATTGGTGTAATGTAGACAATGAAGTTGCTCTCCCTTATTCAGTGCATGTTAGTGCACGTGAGCGTGCCCCACTGGTTAGCTCGTGGTCGCCATTCTGCGCTCCTCTCATACGGTGGTAACAGCTGATAACAGCCGTCCCAACTGACGACAGCATCATCCCAGAAGCGTAGCGCCCATCCTCCTATTCCCCCTCAGGTTAACACTGCAACAGCTCTGTCAGCGCTGTTGCCATCGTTTGTACTGTTAGCGCTGTTTGCAACGTTAGCTATTAGCTGGCGGCTCATCTGTCGCCATGTTGAGAGCTGTCAAGAGACAACATGCTCTTTGTTTTGCCTAAAGCACCTTTAAGTACTTCCTGCTTAGTTTATTTGCTTTAAAAATATGTTATTGTTAATCTTTAAAGTTTATGCATATTTTTTTTCAATCTTCCATTGGGGTCATCTAAAAAAAAGGTTATTTTTATAATTTCTTTTTATTACGCTTTCCCAAGGATATGTGTTCAAGAGAGGGCTGAAGACATGCACGTATCCTTCACTATTTGAATCGAGTTAATGAAGAGTCCTTCTGCGCTAAATGGACGACGTCCATGTATAGGGTGGAGTGAGAGGTGGAGGAGAACGGGGCAGGCAGTTTGCGCTGGCGAGATCCTTGGTGGGTCCGATCAAGCCATCTATTCATACTTCCCATGAAAAGAGCTGTCTGTCCTTGCATTGAGTGCTGAATTGATCTACATCTCACTAGTTATTCTGAGGTAGGCTGTGTCTGGAAAAGTGGAAAATGACTAACTGAGGAGAATTTCCCATCAGTCTCGTCTACCCGGCGTCTCTTAAGGCATTATGCTTTTTTTCCACATGAGCAATTGATTAAGTTCTGATATCAGCTCTGTGGCTGGCAGTTGGTTTTGTTATCCGTTTGTTCGGTGGACGTCGGGGAGGTCAGACATGTCAGTGGGGGTTAAATTTGAATGCTGCCCTCCTTCTTTGATGCCTTTCTTTATGCTCTCATTCAACTCACATGAGCATTGTTTCAGATCCTCACTCACTCCCAGTCTTTCCTGTTCTTTCTCCTAACTATAATAACACCTTTTAACTGAGGGTAATAGTTTGCAGTAATTGGCTGCTGCGTATTGACACAAAGGTTACGCAGGTGACTCAATTCAGCCTCTTTGGTCGCGTTCAGTGTTTTGAGGATTATCATCATCACTATATTTCTCTGGTTCACTCTCACTGCCTTTTTTAAAAAAAAAATGGCAAATCGGTCTTCTTGTTGTCTGGTTAGAACGCCCTAAATGATGAACACGAATGATGATAAACTCCTCTTCATCATTATTTTGTGAGTCCCTAAAGAAGGAACTCATTCCCTTGTTTCTGAAACTCTGTAAGTGGTTTGTGTCATTTATTTTCATTGAGCGTGGGCGTAGATTGATTATCTACACAACAGGATGAAGGTCACAACTAAATGTATGTATTTACCTTGCATCTCTCTCTCTCTCTCTCTCTCTCTCTCTCTCTCTCTTTATCTCTTACTCTCTCCTTCATTAACAAGTTACATAGAAAACCAAGCAGCCCTGGAGAATATAACAGAAATTGATCTTGCTAACTACAGAGAGCTGAAGAACCTGTAAGTAATGCTTTTCTCATTGAGACAATATTTCAACACTTCATGTTGTTACATGTTGTAATACTGTTTCACTGCAATGTACTGAATACTGTTTGTTGTGTCCACACATTCTCAATACATTATGTAACTCCATACAACTGACCGCTCAGTAACCCCCCCCCCCCCACCCCCCCCTTTACTTACTGTTGCTATGCCGATCAAGCTTTCTGCTCTGGCACAGCACAGACAGTATGCAACGAGAAGGTAGCCGATTTAACCCTCAAAGCTCTTATTCACAACAATCCATTTTCAGACGGAAGGTTGAAAAAAGTTGAATCCATTCATAACACTGTTGCTTGTATTTTTCTTTTACATTTACTCCAAACCCTGTTACCAATTAAAGCTGATTGCCCTTACTACAGCCTTGTACAAACCACTTTCAACATGCGGCGAAATCCAAAGCTCTCCATGCCTGGTTAGGGCTGCTGAGCTCTGATTGAACAATCACAGTTTGCTGGCAGGGTTTCTAAAAGGTTGGGTGCACACTATGTTGTCCGAAATATCACCGTACGCTGTGGAAACCAGATTTTCCTTCAATAGGAGTGGCCTTGAACCAAACCATGAAAAGCAGCTCCACACAAAAAGTCCACAAAATGTGTATGAGTATAGTGTGTCCACACACACTTGTCCACCATCTGAAAGATGAAAGTCAGTTAGATATGAATCATTTAAGTCCCTTTTTAAGGAAAAAGAGGTTTTAACCTTTCAATTGGGAGCGTCTCTACAAAAAGCTAATTGAAGATATTTGCGAGTTTGTCAATTTGGGGTTTATTCACTGATTTCCGACACTTCACAGAGCGAACAATTTATTGATTATTTGAGAAAACAATATTGCCAGGTTAATGAATAATGACAATAATGCAACTCCTGCATTTATTTAACTCGCACTCTATTTGATTACCTGCATTGTATAGTGCTTTATTTCAGTCTAAACAAACCGTGTTCCCATGTTTGTTGTGCTTTCTCCTCCTCTCCAGCACGGTCACATTGTGTAAGCTGAGGCTCATCTCTGCCAATGCCTTCCAGCGCAACCTCAAGCTCCAGTATGTGTAAGTGTCCTTGTCAATACAAAAGGATTGTCATCCGCGTGTCATGTTCTGACCTGTATGTGGGTCAGCCTATTTGTCGCTGTCAGTCATTGCTCAACCAGACCTTTAATATTGCTGCATTTCTCAAAATCACAGTGACTCAGTCGCTCGTTCAAATGGTTGTTACTCATCCACAGATCTGGTAAATGTGTGAGATCATTTGTGAACCACAAATTGCATTTATTAGACGTCGTTTTTCTCGATGGGTGTCATGTAAAATATAACATCCAGCTGTTTTGTAACAAATGCAAGCAAGTTTAGACAAATTAGCATACTTCAGTATTAGTTCCAGTTTCTCTAATATGAGTGTTTATCAATTTCATAATTTGGGGTTTTGGAAAGAACAGGGAATTTCAAGACATTACCATGGGGTTTGGGGAATTGTGATTTGCATTTTTTACTATTTGACTAATCAATAAACTAACCTGAAGATTAAAGCAGATTAATCAATAGTGAACGTAATCTTTACCAGCTGAAAAATCAATTACTTCAGCTGTTACTCACAAAAAACTAATGTTATACTGTATTTTTAATGCTAATAAATGTGCCAAATACTGTACCATAGAAACATATGTTATCGTATAATAGTGAACATAATATTCAATAATACCCACCTCCTTTTTCAACAATCATCTATAAAACAAATTAGCAGGCAGCCTGAGTTTTCACTCATTATTTCTAAAAGTCACATGATGTCATTTCTTTCGGTCTTTACATTTGTGATCAGTTTGGCCTCTCACGCCAGGCCCAACAATTAATAATACCATGAAGACTTATCTGGTGGAACCATCAGATCTGTCTATTCAGCAGCAGCTGACCCTTATCGCCTCCATCTTGTCCTCATCGTTCTACTGAGCGTGAGCGACATGTCCCACATTGCTTATCTGAAAGACAGCAGTGTTTTCGAGGAACAGAGATGGGGTGGGGGGGTGGGTGGAAGAGTTGGGCGGGGTGGGCTGGAGAAATTGGAGAAGACATCCACCAGTCACCTTTTACTCGCTCACTTTGGCGGATTATCGACAACTGATGCATAATAAATACACTCCACTAAGGGTCCATTATCACTTAATCAATACTTCACTGTGGAGGGAGAGGGTGGGTCGGGGTTGGGGGGAGTATAGGGGCTTCTGTGTGACAGATGTATTTCTGAGATTAAGAGGGAAAGACTATAACCAAACTAAGCAGTGGACCACTTTCCCTTTTCTACTTCTGCTCACGTCTCCACCCACAACCCTCACGGATCTCTATTATAATCTTTTATTAAATTCAGTACTTAACAAAGGCCAAAAGAAAATGAGCTGCTATTCCCGGCTCTGCTCTCCCCCTGTGGGCCCGGGTAGGAATCGAGCTGGTAATAGATAAGCCCCAATGGCTAACCCATCTGACATAAACTTTTGGGAGCAGGGAAAACAAATAATTGAACCCTTGGCCCTGCCAGAGTAAATATGTATTGGCTTCCATGTGGGCGCTCCCCAGTGTGGCTTTTTGTCATCTTCTGGGGGGAGGTTTATTTACAGCCTGGTCCTTCGGCTGTCTGAGGATCATTTGAGAGGCACTGTGATGATATTTTAGAGCCCTGAGAGGATTGGCAAAAAGATATGTAGCATTCACCCCTGACAGGATTACAATAATGTTTTTTAATGACTGTATTATATATTTTTGAAATTTTTTAAAGTTACACAAACCTTGGAGTCCACAGCTATTTTAGTGTACACAAGCACAGTGCGGTTTCAAGCTAAATGCTAACGGCAGCATGCTAACATGCTCACAATGACAATGCTACCATGTCTATGTGTAGTATTTACAATGTGCCAATTAGCATAAACACAAACTAGAACTGAGGCTGATGGGATTGGCATCAGTTTTGCCATCCCGGTCTCACTCCCCAACTCGTCAAATGCCAACGTTTGGTCAGTGTCCAACGGTGTCTGGTGTTTGGTTACAAACCAAACCAAAGGTTTTGGACAACTTAAAATTGTGACCTGATTATGGCGCTAGATGAAAAGTCAGGGGATCACCAAAGTGATTTCAATTTATCCTGAGTGGAGGCATGAATATGTATACCAAGTTTGGCAATCCACCCATGATAGGAAATAGTTGTTGAGACATTTCATGTCGAACCGCAACGTTCAACCTCATAGTGGCGCTAGAGAAAATGTCAGGTACCACCAAATTCATGAGTATTCATCCTCTGGGGACCTTGAACGTTCATACAAATTTCATGACAATCCATCTTATAGTTGTCAAGATATTTCAGTCTGGACCAAAGCGATGGACTGACATTGCCATCCCTAGAGCCATGAAGCTAACATGGCTGAAAACTACTTTACTACTACACTGTACACAAATAGTACATTTTCTACAAAAATCGGAAACTGTTTTCCTCCAAATACTGGCGAATGGAGTTTGTTAGTCTGTGTAGCCGAGCTGCGCCCTTCCTCCGAGAAGTGTTTGTGACTCTAAACTAATCACCTAATGTACTGAACACTGAGCAAACACGGAGAGAGGTGTGCTGGAACTGTTTGTGAATGTAGCCCCTGGCTAGTGTGAAATACTTGCCAAAGGTAATTGATCAGAACCCATTTGGATGCGTTAACGTTTTCCACTGAGGGTAATTCAAAGCAGGTAAGCATCGCTCTGAAAGAGAGCAGTCAAATCACACTGCAACTCAACTGCAAAACAATGAAAATACCATTTTTACTTTCATTTTTCTTTTATTTCGCCTGACAAAAGTTCAATTTCTTTTCTAAAAGATGTATACGTTTTTCTCAAAGCAACATTTGAGCAGACGGCGTGAATACAAAACTCATTTCAAATACACTGTCAAGGTACTGTTACCTTATTGATTATGTGCAGACTTCTTTATCTGGTCAGGTGGTTCTTTCCTCTCATGCTAACTATTAAGCACGATACGTTAAAAGCTTTCCTGAACAAGGTACATCCATAGGTTGTATAAAATAGTGTGCAGCATAAGTTGACTACTGAATAGCGATAGAACAAGAAAACAAATGTTGGTAACATCATGTGTCTCCTCTCATCTTTTCATAGGAACCTGGCATCAAACTCTCTGGAACACATCTCCTGGAGGGTGTTTCATTTTCTGCCCCTGCTCAACCTGTGAGTCCCTTTAAACTCTCTCATTCATTCAAATACGTTTGATTTTCCAGAAGGTCAAGTTGGCTGTTGGCTGTTGACAAAGCACTTTCCACATATGATTAGGATTACGACGAGACACTACGAGCAAAAACATTTTCATGCACATGGTCAATTTTGAGAGTGTGTGCTAGTTTTCTTCCACAAAGAAACATCCCAAATATACATTTAAGTGTTTATTTACTACTTTGCCTATTTGCGCCTGCAGATTTCTTCTAAATTCACCAAACGTTAGTATTAGATGTTGCCTCATTTTACATGTTTAAACATAGCTCTTTAGAGCACTTTACAGTTCCATAATTAAATCTATTACTTAGATTATTTTTTACCCGGTTCACCTGTTGTGCCTCCTCTTAACCTTTTGTTCGTTGCAAGCCACAGATAGAACCTTCTCACCGTTAATGGCAGAGCAGCGAACTACCGTACCTTTACAGCCATAGGGGAGTACGGCTGACTTTAACTTGAAAGGTCAAGCCTAATATCAAACCTACATCACAGTCTGACTAACTTAACACAGCTTGATAATCAAGAAATCCTGCTGCTGCGGTATTTCAATTCGCCAAGGGCAACAGCGTTTTTTAGTTCTAAAAAAACACAAACTGTAAGAAAGAGGCTTTTGTCTTTCTCAGCTGACTTGATTTATGATGTGCACATATTTTAAAGTACAAGATGAAAGGTACAAGGTACAAGATACAAAAGATGAAATATTAATTGTTAAGGGTAATCTCTAGGTCGGGAGGCCTTTCAGCGTTCTCGTGGACATACAGCATTGTGCTTTCACCAACAGGATAATTCATGGGTGAACATAATTAGTTATTGTAAGAGCAACTATTGCTGCCTTTTACAAAGTGGCTGACTTATCCGTGCAAAGCATCCCCTTTTCACCATGCTGCGCATAGCTATTAGGGTTTTTGAAAGCTATGAAAAATTGAATCATTATGAAGAATTTAAAGTTAGAAGGAACGAAAGGTTATTTTCCATTTAAAGGTGAAATTCTTCAAGGATTCTTCAATATTGCATAAGTTTCGAATTCTTTTAATTGTTAGTGGTTTTTAATATAATAAAAGAAGCCAATACTCTTATGCTTTTACATAAAACGAGCATGTCTGCGATTAAAAAACAAAACAACTCATTCATTAGTTTCTCCTATTTATCTTATTAATAATGTGTCAAGGTTGAAGTTCTTTCTTGTGTGTTCTTGACAAAGAAGGAATTAGAAATTGAATTTGTCGCCAGTAGAGATGACTTTCGCTCCGTTTTCTCCTCAGGGTTTTGAGGGACAACCCTCTCGTTTGCTCATGTGACCTCCACTGGCTCCAGCAGTGGCAGCGGAATGAACGCGGTGACGTGGACAACCAAATGTTGTCTTGTTTCTCCGACGATCTAGAAGTACCGCTCCAGTCTTTGTTGATAGATAACTGCAGTGAGTGGCTTCCAGACTTTAATTTTGCACTGATGTTATATAATGTTATCAGTAATACTGCATGTCAACAGTAAGATGTGCAAAATGTTCCAACCAGAGATCAAGTCTAAAAAATGTTTGCATATTCATAGATTCTGGATTTGTTTCAATGACAGAAAAGTAGGAATTTTAATTCGGTAATTAAATCAAAAATTATGTTGTTTTTGGAAAAACACATGAGACACAATTTCATTCTGTATTTTTCCACATCTTAAAACATATCTGGAGAGAATATTGCTATATTTTAATGTAAAGTTCATGGCATAAGTCTCCCTCTCATGTGGTGTTAAGAATATGTCAAAATAACGCAGCTTCATCCAGTTGAAAAGGAAAAAAATAATAACCATTTGTCGATCCACTTCTGCATATCAATGCCTTCAACGAGCAGGTGCAGTGAAATGCAGGGAAGAAATTGGCTCGCCAGCGTTGCCGTTTTAATCGCATAGAGCGGGAACATCTTGTTGCCAGGAAACATATAAGAGAGTTTTTGGCCCTGCGGTGCCATTTCTCTGAACTGCCAAAAGAAAGGAAGAAAAAAAAAAAAAAGCTTGGCTGTCTTCACTCAGTCGTACCATCGCATTAGCGACCCGTTCTCATTGCTGTCTCCTCTGCTGCTCCCAGGTCTGCCTGAGGTGATTATTGTCCCCTTCAAAGATTCAAAGATTCAGGAAGGAGGCAACCTGACATTTGCATGTCAAGTGACAGGAAGTCCAACTCCCAATGTGAGATGGCGAACTGATGAGCTCCGCTCTCACTTCTTTACCCAGGTAGTGGAGTAAATTCAGTAAATGTAAACATACATTAACAAAATATCATTTGCTATCTATTGCTGGCTGTATTTGTCTGAGGCCACGTGTCTGTGTGTAGATTTCATTTCATTTCACTGTTTCCTTTATTTTCTGCTTTTCTCACTGTGCTGTAAAGCTCTTTAGACAAACTGCAGCTTAAAGCCGTTTAAATAAAGTTCAGTTGGGTTCTGTAATCTATTGATCTACAGTATAGTAAATTGGATCCCATTTCACCCCTCTAACCCGTATCCCTCTAAGAGATTTATATGCAGTTGTGACCGGGCTGCATTAACCTCCTCTGCTCTTTGTCTGCACCGTTGACTGCTGACAGGAGAGAATCTGGGGCTCCACATTAGAGCTGGTCCTTTTCCTCACCAACGCTTCATCCAACGACAACCTGCACAACCTGACTTGTGAGGCCGAGAATCAAGCTGGGCCCGGGGAGGAGATGGTGCAATTGGACATTGAGTGTAAGTGCCTGCAAAATAAAACCACACTCTCGAAAGCTCACGGGCTCAAAGCAAGTCGTCGGGGCTTAATGGAGGTTAGGGCGAGAGCACACTGGGGCCATTTTTCTAGTGCAGGCAGGGTGGACAGCCTGAGAAAGGAAAAATGCACTACTGATGTCTTCTAAATACCCCCTCCACAAACACGAGCATGTGCCCGTCACGCTTCTAATGGAGCTCTTTGTCATCTGCCACTCACTCTGGCGACTGGCGAGAAGTGTTATAATAGTATGAGTGGAGTGCTGCAGGTATGGTTAGCCATGTGAAGGAGGGATACAATGAGAGGACAAAAGAGAGTGAGCTTACCTCACCTTGCTCTTAAAGAACTCCTTCAATTCACATACACTGTACTTCTAAACTACAGTTGCAGCTTGACCCAGGAGGTTTGCTGTTGTTTTCGCCTTTCAGATGCATTAGCGCATCTCCGAGTCGAGGAACACGGAGGAATGACAGCACCCAGCGGTCCCATGGAAAACACTGTCAGATGCATTAGCGATACATTACTGAAAAAATACTGCCCAAACAATATCGTATATCACCAACTCTGTGACACTCATTAGAAAATAAAGCCAAAAAAGAGCAGGGGCGCCAATCAGCTGAGGCCAAATGCACGAGCATCGAGGGACAGATAATGAACGTCAGGAAAATGGGGCTGATAAGCCCGTGCTAAGATCTGATTTGAGCCTGTGCTAATGGTCTTTTCCCTCCTACTCCGGAAAACCGCTTCATCCGCAGTGATTGGCAGTCTGTAAATGCGTTAGTGCAGCTAATCTATCAACATCAGCCCCCCTGGTGGACGGACACTCGTTAACCGCTAGCCCTTTAATTACTCTTAATTACCTCCCTGAACAGTGGGTGTTTACTGCTGAGTGGCTCTCTGTGCCATTGATTCATAGCGCTCATGTGGCTTCCCTTTCATAAAAGAGCATGTGTCTTTTTTGCGATGTCATTTAAAGTAAAAAGGTGGATTCAGAACACAAGTTTTCTTCATATCCATCGTCACAAAAGTTAATATTTTGTATCGAAAGGTTCAGGTTAACTGTGAATCTGGACTGGACTGAATCATTTTGTGTATTCCCTGAAAATGTTCATTGTCTAAAATCCTCCAGTGAGAGCTGGCAGGCTCACTAAACATAATGCTAGCCCTCCTTTTATCCCCTGCAGTGAAATAGCTTGTGTAAGTTTAGTAGGGGTCGCTAATTTTCACCCAGTACAACAGACCTCAGCGGGCTCTGGATGAAAAGACCTCAGTATCCCCTGAGCACAGCACTTTCTGAGGCTGGGTCATGGGTTAAGAGCTGTAGACTTGTGAGGGGTCTCTGCACTTGAGAGTCCGTGTTCGATCTAGACGAGGCCATTTCCTGTAACCTCACGTCCTGCGGAGCTTCCAGGTAGCTTTTGTGGTTGGGGCCACGATGACGACTGGGATTCATTATTCATAGCAGGTCAGCACAGGTTCGATGTACAGATGGAGAGCATTGATTCATGGAAACTCAGAGAGGAAACTATAGGACGCTTTACCAACCGTCGACTTTATGTTGCACATGATGAAGGTGCAGATTCAGCATACAATTGTTGCCTGTAGGCTTGTGCATTTAAAGGAACATCTCCGTAATCATGTTTTGATTTATTGGCAATGACCAGTGAAAAGTACTTTTATTATTATTTCATTTTTTGCTACTTTGTACTTCCACTTCACTACACTTCAGAGGGAAACATGGTACTTTTTAACTTAAATTAAAGATATTTTCTCAATTAATTGATTAATCACTTGGTTTTTGAAATCTCAATAAATAGTAAGAGAAAACATTCTCATTACAGTTTCCTAGAGCCCAACGAGACGTCTTAATTTTGTCATACGAACCCCAAAACCTAAATGCATTTAATCTACAGTGATATAAAAGCAACAAACCGAAAACCGATTAATTGATTACTAAACAGATACATTTAAGGACCGTGTAGCTACCTTTGGACAGAACCAGGCCAGCTGTTTCCATCTCTTTACACACTATTCATTTTAAGTCTTTACTTTCCAAGTTGACATTCCAAATAAGAAACACAAAGTCAGGAGCAAAGGAAGCACTTTCCCTTTCCCAATCACCTACTGCCCCTGAACTCTCAAAACTGTCATCTCCCATCAGTTCCAGTCAGAATCATCTACCTGAGGGACGCCGTGCCGCAGCACCACTGGTGTTTCCCCTTCGTCGTGGATGGCAACCCTGAACCAACCATCTCCTGGCGCTACAATGGCAACGAACTCAAACCGAGCATCTTCATGTACACCCAGCTCATCCCCGACTCGGGTGACGGATCAGTGAAACATGGATGCCTCTTCCTCAACAAGCCCACCCACATGAACAACGGCAACTACACTCTGATCGTGCAGAACAAACTGGGAAGAGATGAGGCCACGGCCATTGGGATGTTTATGAACAACCCGTTCGACCCGCTCGATCCTGAGGGGATATTTCCAGGTGAGTTCCTGAAACTGTTTTGGAGCCGCAGAAGGTTATTATTTTTCCGAGCAGCATATCCCATAATGAGCAGAGGAGGCCATTAGGGCAGCTAAAAGAGGAATCTATCTGACTATCTTCTTCAGCACGGCTTGCTCCAGTGTTGAAACACTGATTAATATGCAACATCTTTCAACAAGGTCCTCAAAACACTGAGTGGTTACAAAGCAATGGATGAAAAATAAAGGAAATGTTCCTGAACAAGTCTGCATTGAGGACTATATAGTAGATAGTTATAAGTTAATGAAACATTATGTAATGATTAGCTCTTAGAGATCTGGATCATTCCTGATTAACTCTGAACCCGCTGTTGAGCAGCATAACACTAATACACACTTATTAACTACCAATTACTAAACATTAGTTTCTATTTGCCATCTCAAGTAAAGTATATAAATAAAAATGAATTAATAATCAGGATCAAATGTCATATTCTGTACTAAGGATCTATTGCATAGATACATGTGCGGGCTAGTGCTTCAGGTATTTACATACCTCTGTACATTTCTAGATGTAAATATGAAGTTATGGAACCTCAATAACATCAAACACAAACGGCCCTCACCAAGGGTATTGAGAATTTACATTAACAAAACATTTTCTATGTGTAGTGTTGTGGAAAATATTCCAGAAATAAATCAGAAAATACTGTCAACAGCGTAAAAAATATAAAGAAAAGATATCACCCTAAAACTTCCCAAGTTACATTAGGTGATTATTCTTTTCTTTTTTTTTTCAAATGTTAAGTTCAAACATGCAAATGAGGCATTATCTTTTGCTTACTTCTGGTGAATTTAGGATAATTCTACAGACACAAATAGACAAAGTAGAAATTAAACACCCAAATGGTTATTTTGGATGATTTCTTTCCAGTAGTCTGAAAGAAGTCATGTTATAGAAGCAAAATAGCCCAAAATCTCAAAATTGACCACTGCATTAAAAAAAACATTATTCACTATTTCTATAAATAATTATTGGAAAATAACCAATTTGTATTCATCAGCTAAAGGTTTAATATTGAAACTGTGCGTATGTGTGTGTGTTTGATAAGTTGCTACATTTTTTCAGTGCACCCTTTAATATCACCGTTTGCTTCTTCGGTTCTCTTTAATGTGTGTCCATAACTGTGTTTGTGTTCTCGCTTCCCTCACGCCAGTCCCCGATATGAATCCAAGTAAGTAACTACTCTCCCAGCATGTCTCCTCAACACTGCATAGACTTGATGAGCAGTCCGTCTAAACAAATCTCATTCCTGCCCCTCAGTTCCGACAAACAAATCAAACATGGACGTCACCGAGAACCCGGAGAGTCGAGTATTTGTGGTACGTCCGTGCATCGACATTCGCCACCACAAATATGACTATCAGTTAGTGTTAGTTATCAGACCGTCAGTGGTGTTACTGAGTGTGACTGTAAATCTGTCTTTGTTTGAACAGGTGTCTGTGGCTGTGGGTCTTGCTGTGTTTGCTTGCACTTTCCTTCTCATCATGATTCTGGTTATTAACAAGTGTGGCCAGAATTCCAAGTTTGGTATTCACCGTAAGTTGAAACACAAATTATTTAATTCACTGCACGCATAATTTAGCCGCTAGTTTATGAAAGGAATAATTTGACTATTTAGCTAGATGAGAAGCAAATGTTTCCTAAAATGTCAAACTATTCCTTTAAATAAATTATATGTAAAGCAACAGGTGGACTTTAACACCTTTTGGGATTATTTTACCATAGTTAACTATGGAACTGTAGTTAAAACATCCGCCTACCAGCACCCCAAATCTCACTAATACATCAGAAATGTAACTTCCTGTAATTATTTTGGAACTTTTATTTTGCTTTCGAACTTTGGAAGGAGCCAGGCTAGCTGTTCCCCCGGCTTCAAGTCTTTATGCTAAGCTAAGCTAATCAACCCCCCCAGTTCTAGCTCCATCATTAACACACAGGCATTAGAGTCGTATATGAGTCAAAACGCTCTACCAAGTTATTGTTCCACATCGCCGATGGTTCTGTCAGGCTCTCAGAAGGTAGTGCGCAGCAGAGAGCGACTAATATAGGATTTCCACTGAGCTGTAACTTTGCACACGGGCAGCCGCTGTGTCGGCCGGGCTAAAGTGCCTTAATTACTGCATGAGAATGGCGGCAGAAACCTCCCTTGGCCACTGCCACATGGTGAGGGCCATTAAAGAAGATGGATGGATGGATGGAGGAACAGCTAGACGTGATATAGCTCCACTTTGAC